CTACCTGTTTGACCGATATAGTACTTGTTGCAGTCCTTACAGTTGATGCGGTAGATCACATTTGTTCGATTTTTGTCTTCCTGTTGCTTCTTGGTTTTTGATAAGATTCTCCTCAGGGTTGTCGTTGGTTTGTGGGTTTGTGTATGCACGGTTAGACTATGTACTCTGTGTGTTGACCGCAAAAGTTCACTTTCTTTGCCTCCGCCAAATCAGGCGCAAATTCTATCCATTTTTTACTTTCTCACTCATTGTGTACATTGAGAACTTGGCAGCGGTCAGCGAAGTTCACTTCTCTGTATCTCGCTGTACGATGATGATGATGATGATGCCCTAGCTCTGACTCAGCGTGCACGAACTGCTGAAACATACAGGAGATGGTGGGCTAACCGACTTCGCTCGTTTTGTCGCCGGCCAGTTAGTCGAAGAGTGAATTTCATCAGAACTAATGTGTGGTCAAGCTTAACGTCGGTGGTTCAATAGGACCTGCAGTTTTAAACTAAGCCACTCCAACGGTAGATTACTGACATATGGTCTATTTGAATTAGTCTACCGGTTCAAAAATTTGCTACTAGTTAGGAACCGGTAATGGTCTACGCACGAAGAACTGAAGAAGTCGCAAAGCATAACTTCCACCCATGTTAGCTTCTGATGCGCTTAGTTTTCAAACTTGCGCGTTAAACTCACCACCCACTACAACTATGTTGGAACTTCGACTTATCTGGATAGATTCGGTGACTTTATCGTTAAAAGCGCCCTTTTGTGTCAGAACTGCAATTTGTCGGTGCACACACTTTCTGTTCGACTCAACTTTCCTGTCTTCTCCTATTCTTCATTCGAATGGGCAGTCAAAAGACAGCAACCAAAACCGGCGCACGATAGTGCATGGTTCATGGTTGTATAAGCCGAAACGGAAGCTGAAACAATGGAAGATGAGCTGGGATGAAAAAACGTCTGGCACGAAATAGAAATCCAACCTTGCGCGCATCACGAGAAGCAAGCTTAGCTATACACAAGGACCAGCGCAAAGTAGAAGGTATAGGCAATCCAAGGAGAGAAACAAAGTCTGTGGAACGCAGTTGGATGGAATCAAAAGAGAATGAATAGTGTTTTAAAGAAATCAAAGGGAGGGAGATTTTAGAACTATTAAACGAAATGTGGTTTGCAACGCCGCAGGAGAAAATGTGTTCGAGATCGGAGTCCAGTGACACATGAACTGCACTACGGTCACCACCGATGTTGGTTTGGGCATGGCGAGCAGTGCAGTAGGAGAGGAAGCAGTGGAGGATGGTGTCATCAGCAAAAAAATGAATAGTGTTGATAGTTTGGGAAAGGAGATCATTAATAAGTAGAAGGAAGAGGGTGGGCGCAAGTACTGCACCCTGGGGAACACCAGCGTTCACAGGGAATGGCTGGGATAGAACCCCATCAACTAAGACGAAGATGGTTCGCTTACTGAGGAAACTTGATATCCACACTACGAGCGCTGGAGGGAACTCGAACATGGGTAGTTTCGCCAGAAGACCGTGTCAAACTCGGTCGAAGGCCTTTGAGATGTCAAGCGAGACCAAGTGTGTTTCCCCGGGGTTATCGAGTGGTGCTGACCAGGACTGTGAGACAAGATCCAGGTCACAGGTGGAACGACGTGATCGAAAGCCATACTGGTGGTTGCTCAGTAGTCCTTCGCGGTCAAGGAACGTACGTATCTGGTCAGAAATGATAGTTTTAAATACTTCCGAAAGAACAGATGTGAGGGAAATGGGTCGATAGTTGTTGGGGTTAGAAAGATCACCGCGTTTGGGAGTGGGAAAAATCATGGCGTGTTTCCAGGGTTTTGGAAAAGAAGAAAGTTGGAGGGAAAGACTGAAAAGATGACGTGAAACAGGAATCAACTCGGGAGCACACATTTTGAGGACGTTAGGTAATTTGTTTTCGTTTAGAGAGCATTATGTTTGGCGGATTTTCCTAGTGTTGATATGAGGCAGAAAAGGACTGCCAGTGAAGAAGGAAGAAGATAAAGGTCTAGAAAATGGGATAAAGTGAAATCGGTGGCGAACTGGGAAGCAAAAACCTCAGCTTTGTCGTTTGGTTGACATACAAGATCACCAGAGGAATTGTATTGTATTGTATTGTGATAACTTCTCAATACAGATAGGGGGAAGTTGAAAGGGCAGAATCTACGGTAAATTGCTGTGACAAGGGACCAAAATGTTCGGCTACCGGTGGCGGACGAGACCAAATTTTCGGCTTTACGGCGAACGGAGCGTTCTTTGGTTCTCTGAATGGTCATCGAGCATCTGTTTCTAGCTTGCATGAAGCTATGGTGGGAGAGAGGGATGGGCAAGCTGCGCCAGTGGCAACAGGCTGAACGTCTCAGGCGTACAGCACGGTCACATGCATGGTTAAACCATTCAAGGGATTCGGGTTTGCCGGGTTTGGAAAAATTGCGGAATAAAGTGATGCATACCTTGAAGAACAATGTGGGTGAAGTTGGAAACAGATTTGGAGACATCCGAAGAGAAATAACAATCGTTCCAGGAATAAGCAGTTAGGAAATCACGGAAACCGTCCCGGATGGTTGAGTTGTAGCACCAGAATGTGTCTCGCGGTGGGTGATGGCTCGGAGTTTGAAAACCTAATGGAACAAGAAACAATACAGTGATGTGATGAGCCAAGAGGAGGGAGGGTATCAATATCTGAGAAGAAGAGACCGAAGTGAGAATTAGATTGACGGTGTGGGCATGATCGCCAGCTCGATCAAGGACACTTGTGAGGAGGTCAACTAGTTGGCTCAAGTTGTTGACCAAGGCGAAGTGTTCGGCTTCGCGCTCCAAAGGAGAAGTAGCAGATGTGTCAACCATTCCTGATTGTGAACGTTAAAATTTCCCAAGATGGTAACATGGCAGTTGGAGTCGGTTGCAAACAAATGTTCAATGTTAGAAGGTAGAAAATCAAAGATGAAAAGTCGCCACTATTGAGGGAACGATAAAGAACACAAAAGTAATGATTAAAGGAAGGAAGTCGGAGTTTCAGCCACATCAGGTGAAATTCACGATAGGAAAAGTCAAGATTTGGGATCCTGGAGGCGGTGACTGATTGGTGAATGAAGACCCCGACACCAGCTTTGGTTAGGAAGGACGAATGGAGAGTGTAGTTGAGGAATTGAAGGTGGGTGGTGTCTGACGAGGGGGAGATTTGTGTTTTGGTCAAGAAAAGGGCGAGCGGAGAAGACGAATGTTTTTATTACACATCTAGGTGTGGTGAACAGCAGACGGGACAAACCCCATAGTCGCGAGGACCTGCTGTTCAGTGGTTGAAATCAGCAACCTAAGCTCTGGAACTTGGAGTGGCGAACCACATAAGGCCCCGATAAGTTAGGCGTGGTATTGAACCGGACGAATAGAGAAAGTGGTGTACAGAATCAATATTGCGGTTTAGTCCGCGAATGTTGGTGAGGGTGGTGAGTGCGTATTTACAGTCTGAGTGCGTAGAGCGAGCGATAATACGTGAGCGTTCGTGATTTTGTATATTCATGCATATGTTATGAGGAAACCGGCAACCATGATCCTGAAACTTGGAGTGGCGGATCACATAAGGCTTCAAATTATCGGGCGTGGTAGTGAGCCGGGCGACGACAGAGCCGCCTACCACTGTGACAAGTATGCGCAGTGGACACCTCAAACTACGAAAACTTCTTACAATGAACCGTGAGAACACTCCTAGATGCCGGGAGTCAGGCCCCGCAAGACCATCAGCGGGATATTACAGGCCTATCCGAAATCAGATTAACAATAGTCGAAATCCCAGGTATTGTTGGTCAATATAATCTGTATCAGAACGACAAACTCCGCAGCAGTCGCCGACTACGCCTATCTGATAACAAAAACGATGATGAGTTCTATGACAGTCTTCAATCACTTGTTAACGAAGTACCTAAACGGGATGAACTTGACATAGAAGAGGACTGGCACGCTCAAACTGACCCACAAGCAGAGTTCATCGAAGCGACGTTTGGTTTGGGCCAACGCTGCGAGAATGGTGACAGACTACTCAGCTTCACTAATTAAAATCGGCTGTTACCAACACTATTACCAACACAGGTTTCAACATCCGAGAAAGCATTTTCTGACGTGCTACTCCAACGACCGACGAACAGCACCCCGATTGGATTACCTTATCCGTTCACGATGGGTTTCTTCGATTGAAGACAGTCGATCCTATCGCGGGGCTGAATGCTGATCTGATCACATACTAGTTCGCACGAAAGTTAGACTTCACTTAATAACTCACAGGAGGACCGTCTCCACAAACACTTAAATTTGCTTCCACTAGAGCGCCGCAAGAAATGCCGATTGGCATGAAAACTGCACAATTGTCTATAAGACACGAAACAGAATGGACCAGGCTAAAGTCGTCAGTACAAATAGCCTGAGCCACGGTTAGCTCAATACTCTGCTAATCGCAATCTCAGATGACAAGCAATAAGACCAGCCAGAAACGACAGATGTAACTACAGGAATGAAATGGTCACAGAAACCAATCTGGGGAACACGGTGACCGTATTCCGGATTGCACGATCAAATTCAGGCTAAAAAGAAGTCAATTAGTCCCTGTTGCGCAGGACATCCGGCGGGCTCAATTGTGATGCCGAAGAAAGAATAATTTGCGTTTCTGAAGACAGAAAATTGTAGAGAAGCCATTGATCCAAGTAATTGGGCCTCCATTGCGATTCACCCACTGCTTTTATTGAAAACCCTAGTCGTTCTCCTGCTTAGTGGCTGGATACCCTAGTAGCACCTATACATTGAACTCATGAATAAACAAACTAAAAATAGTTCCATGCTGTATCGG